TGCTGTTGGTCCAAAGAACTCCTGACCTCTTCTTTTTTTGGATACTGGGGGTGATGATGCATAGCCAGAGGATCCAATAGCTCCAGTAATGGCAGCATTTGCTGCCTGTTGAAGATATACCATGTTGTTGCCATGGTCTCCATGGAATAGTGCTTGTCTCTCTTCACTTCCTTCAAAGTTCTTGCAGTCCATGCACTTGCAGTTCTCCGAGCAGAGAATGTTGGCTTGGAAGCATTCACAGTATTTCTTCAGGCACCCTGATTTCTTGCAATGGCATCCTTTGTTGTGCTTCCCCAAAATCAAAACCTCTCCTGCTTCCTCCTAATGTTTCCAGACCAGACACATTCTTGTCAACAATGTCTAATGTAGGGTACTATAATTAGAAACACCAATAGCAGAAAATTTTAATATAATTCTAATTAGAAGGTGTTGAATTTAATGCTATACCAAAGTAAAACCAGTAATTCACTTTCATCTAGGCCATTTCTTGTGATGGCAAAAAAATAAAAACCATACATGATTCACCATAAATGGAAAGGCAATATACACCACAAGCTCATAAATCATTCAAAAGAAATTGGACATGTAATGATATTTCACACACTCCTAGACCACGAGATCACTTTCAAAATGAAGGCGACAGGCAGACCAAAATTCCATACTAGATGAAACCAACAAAATGAAGGGAAAGTATACATCTTGAATGCTCTCGTGACTTTAGAACCATCATAAAAGGTAAAAATAGAAAACACTACAATTACAGCACACGTATTAAAGAGATCTCTTTCTGTAACATTGACAACTGCAACTCACAAAATGCAAATAGTTGAACTTCAGTTTGTTGAACAAATAATACAATATTAAAAGATGCATCATGTCTGAAACTAGGCCATCAAACTAAGAGATACATACCCGAGTATCCTTTGCTCCATGAGGGCTACTCGCAATTTTTGGCCTGAATGCATTTGGATTACGCTCCAAAGTAGCTTCAATTGCATCATTCCTAGCACCTTCATTTTCAACATTATTGCAACAGTTTACGCAGTTGCACCCGTCACAGTAAATTCCAGATGCAAAACACTCACAATACCTGGTCATAAAATAACAACGTTATTGCAACAGTTTACAGATTTGCAACCTAAACCTTTTGATGCACAAAAGTCATTTAAATTGGCAATTCTTGCATGACAACTGAGAACTACCAGAGAAAATCAAATGAACCATGAAATCTGTAACAAATCATCAAATCCTGGAAGGAATGGTTTTCATACTAACCAACCGAGTGCATAGATGATATGCACTTACAGCTTTAAGCAGCGAGAGTGTTTACAGTTACACTGTTTTTGCTTCTTAGGAGTACCATCTTTTGCATCAACATTGGGTCTTGGTCTCGATTTTGGGGATTCTGGTTTCCTAAGAAAGCAAAATAATAGTGTTTAGTGCTTACAATATAAATAAAACAGCTTGAGGTTGCACACGTGGATTCTCACTCTTAGACACAATGGTCTGTTCAGATGTATATGTGCAATAACAACGACAAAATTCAAGCTTTACAAACAAAGTTTAGTAAATGAATTGAAGGACAAAGGCAGATCATCGATCAGAGCCTTATTATCACCAAAGCCAGAATTACAACTCAAATTCCAAAATCCCGAACTCAGTTCAATGAATGTTGCATAAAACAAAAGTCATACTCAAATCAGTAAGGTTACGAGATTTTGTAAATCGAAATTCAGATGAAGAGAGATCCTTGATATCAAACTAAAACATTTGCAATAAAACTGAACTATCAGAACAATGTCAACTCATCAATTTCGATTATTCCAGAAATGCAAATGCAATTCTCCCATTCGTTTACAAATGCCCACGTTCAACAAACTGAACTTTAGCAAAGCCAATGGCAAAAATCCCATTAAAACTTCCCCAAAATCAATCCGTCAAACAAAGATTGAAACATTGTTTCTTACACCCGAAAACACACCAGCTCCGAAACTACCCTCCATAGAAAACCAATCAAATCACCTCAAAAAGAAAAGAAAAAAAAAAAAAAACCAATCAAATCACCTCCAATTTTGAGAACTATTCCCACATTACCTCACAATCCAAAATCCAAATTCTCAACCGAAATTCAACTACGAAGCCATAAAATTAACAAGCAGCAGAATTTTCCAATTCCAAACAAATTAAACTTATTTGCATATCCCCTTGAAAAGCTACAAACTTACACGAGCTTCAGTGTATGCGGCTGCTGCGGCACCAACACCGGCACTGGCATGGACACCACGGGGGGATTTGGCAGACTCGGCGGCACCGCCTCGGTCGGCAGTGGTGGCTTAGGGAGCTCCGGCACCGCCACACTCGCCGGAGCGCTAGCAACCCCCGTGAAATCGAGCTGCCTCGCAAGCTTCTTCGCCGGGACATCGTTCATCGAGGACGAGGACGACGCCGTGGCAGTGCCCGCTGCCGCATCCGATTGAGCCTTCTTCGGGGCCAAATCAGCCCCGTCGCCTTCCCCCATGAAATCTAAAATTTCAAATTTCCAAAATTTCACCCAAAAGTTTCGAATTTTTCTTCTTCCACAAAAAAACTTAATCCACTGATTACTCTCCCGATAATTCCTCAAATTTACCCGCTTTCAGATCCGAAACACAATCAGATTCCTCCAGAAGAATTCAAACACTCCGAAACTGCACGGCCCCGCAGCTCAAGATTCGCTGCAAAGCTCCGCCAGTGGCCACCGGCAATCCAAACGGCGTCGAATTGCGAAACAGAGGCGTCCGCAAAACCGAAAAATCCTAGAGAGAGAATGTAGAGAGAGAAAAATCGAGGCTTTCGAGAGAGGAATTGAGAAGAGTGAAGGGAGCAAAGGGGGCTTTCTTTTCTTCTTCTTCTTTCTACTTCGTCTCTCCTCCCCCTCTCTTCCAGGCTTTTGAAATTTCAATTCCTGCGATTTTTTGACGGTGAGATCGGGACACTAGGTATGATCCGACGGTGCCTGTTGAAATCAACGATCGACGGTGTGAATTCATAGATGAGAATAAGGTCGGCAGTTAACCGTCCGATTTAACGAGATACAAATTTTCCACCAAGTGAAAACTGTGTGAGAGACTCCGAGTGGAGGCGTCTTAGGAAAATAAAAATCAGGTGCACGCAGCACAAAGGAATAATAACATGTTCACAGTTGGGATTGTGACACGTGTCGGATAGGTCATCGTGGAGCGTGGAGTGCGTAGCTGGAGAGATCGCGTCCCGATTAGGATTTGGGTGGTGAAAGGACAGGGGTAAATTTGAAAAAGATTCGGTCCGATCAAACGGTGAAAAGTAAAAAGTAACGAAACTATGGAGTTTTGGCGCTAAAAAGAATTTGCTGACTTCGAGGTGGTTAATCGGGATTGGAAAATTGGTGGGGTCCAGGGTTAACATGTCTGTGTGATCTTTGATTTGTGATTGGTGGATTATTTTTAGTTTGGTACGATGCACGAAATGGACGGACAGGATGTGAAAAGAATAAGAATCCTCGACCAAGGAAACAAAAAGCGTGCAAACACCAACAACTAGAAGAAATAAATAATGTGAATAATTTGAACTTGTGTTTCTAAAGTTCCAAATTAATTACGAAACGTTTTATTTTTTAAACAATTGGACATCATTGATTCCATACTTGCGATAAATTTTTTCAGATGAACGGCACATTAAATTACTTGGTGTTTTCAATCAATACAATTTTAACACATGCTTATTTTATTATTAAAATAAAAAGATTGTCATGTTTTGATATGTGATATGATTTATTATATTAACATCCTACAAATTATTGAATAAATCCAACATATTTAATATACATCACATTTGCTTTTTCAATTAAAAATTATCTAAATACACCTCATATACTTTCTCATAATACCCTCACATCTCACATTCTCAACATACACCTTATATTTTCTACATACACCCCACATTCTCTATACACCCCACATTTTCATACAAACACTAGTTTTTACATCTCATTTTGTTTTCTTTTTAGGACATAATTTTTGCAGAGTTACCGCTTTTCATGGGGCAGAAAATGAGATTGAATCGTATCTCCAAATTTGTGGGTAAATTATAAGGTATCTAGACTTGTAAATATCTTAAAGGCTCTATGTCCAGGATGGAGGATTACCTTTTATAAAGTGCATCCATTTTCATATGTCTACTATTAACAAAGATTTCATAATTCTGATTGGAAATCTTTCTTCTTCTACTCTTGTCATATTTTTTAGGTGTGTTATTGTGTCATTGTGTTCCCAATTTAACTAGTATATATGGCTGGAAAATACCAGATTCTTTTATTGTATTTCAATATATAATATCCGTCAATACTTGTCATTTTTTCAAGATGCATTCTCTAAATGATTCTAACACTCTTTCGGTTTACCTCATGTGAAGCTTCTGAAACATCGATTTCGTGTTCCATTCGTAAAAAATAATTTTTCTCAAACAACGCGTTGTAGTTTCGTTAGTTAGGGTTTTATTCAACAATGGAAGGTGGAAATGGATTTTGATAGTTTAAGAAGATAAATGATACATTAAGTGATTTGGGATATATTTAGAACCTAATAAGGTCGAAATTGTCATTCCACAATAGGGAATACAAGTCAACATTATGTGAGGTACTAATAAAAAAATTTATGATAGGCATTAATAAACAAAACTCCTAATATACCCCTATAGTTCAAAGAGAAAGATGTAAGAAAACTCTCCGACCACCCCCTTCCACGCCGACCACCCATTCTATCATAAACCACCCACCTCTATCGCCGCTCTATGATTCCACTGACAACATTCCATACATTTTCTCTTCCTCTTTTTCTTTCCCCCCTTCTCTCTCGTTCTCCCCCACCCTATCAAAAACCACCTACCTCCATCGACCCAAATTTTTCCGTCTCCGACCTCTGATTTAAGATCTGTCTTTCAGCATCTCTTATGTCCATCTCAGAGAGAGCACAAGGAGGATAAAATTACGTATGAGGCAACCAACCACATGGCAAATTTTAATTCAACTTCAAAACGTGACGAATTCGGGAAATTATACACTAGAATTGGCTATGGCTTCAGCCAACTATGGAGAAGTGCAGGTTCGAATTAACAACTGAAGCAGCAACAACCCACCTGATTTAAAACTAGTGCTAAGCAAGCTATATGCATTCTTCCTTACACTCTAGATGCAAAACGGATATCTACTCACAGACAAAATTACACCAGAAAAAAAAAAAAAAAAATATCCCCGTGGCCTCATTGTCAATATGCATCTCCAACTCGGTCTCGCCCCATGCCACGATGATCCTCTCGTCCCCGACCCCGACCCCGACCCCGACCCGTGTACAGAGGCCTGTTGTAGTCTTTTGGTGGTGGGCCACCTCTTAATGGGGACCGGCTTCTCTCTCTAGCATCATGTGCCCATCGGCCGCGGTGAGGAGGTAGATGAGGTGGTGGTGGAGAAGGAGAGGGCAGTCGCCTGTCAAATGGTTTCCTTTCATTAAAGAAGCTATCCCTTCCCCGATCTCTGTTACCCCAATCCATAGGCAGTGGCCTATCAAACTTACTTCTTCCTCTGTAGTTATCAGAGTAGTCCAACCGATCTCTTCGCAACTGGTGGTCAGGAAACCTTCCTTCGTGCCTTGGAGGCGGCAGCCCAGGGCCAAAATCTCTAGGGCCATTTCTGGCCCAGCCACGAGGTGGAGACCTATAGCCACCATTTAAGCTCCTTCCAAAGGGAGGAGGATCAATTGGAGGACCAGGGAAGCGTCTATGAGGAGCATTTGGAGGTGGTGGCCCAGAATAACCCCTTCGAGGACTTCCCCCAGGTCCATGGCGTGACTTGTTGCAGTTGTTACAGTATTCTCGCCTTGCAAAGTTCAGGTTGCCACATCTGAGACACGTAAAGAATATAAGGATTGGGACATGCTGAATGCATATTTACAAGCACTAACTCACATAAAAAAAATGAAAGTAAAACTGAAGGGCAAAGAGGAAAACCTCTACCTAATCATAGGAATCAGAACCCTCTATGCAATCATAGTAGTGACAAGTTCCAAAGAGGAAAACCACAAAAATAAGGAAAAGTAATATGAAAAAACCAAAAGAAAGACAGGAAATGAACTTACAAAGGATCTGGGCAAATCCAGTCTCCGATTCTCTGCTGCACATTCGGATTATTTCTACTCCCTTCACCTCTGAATGGCCCAGGAACGAGCCCCGGCCCATCTAAACCTCTACCAAATGGCCTGCCAACACCTCTTCCTCGCGCAAAATGGGGTGAGCGGTCTCGATATCTACCAGAATCCCGTGCACTGCCAAAATCACGCCCACGTGGGGGACCCCCTGATTGATTATACTCAGAGCTGTAGCGATTTTCTGCATCCCTACGGTGTACAGGGGAAGCAGAACCTGCACGCATTCTATGTCCTGGAAAAGGTAGTGAATTGTAAGATAAGTAACTACCAATTGCACAGAAACACAGACAATGGGAGTATATTTTAAGTAGCTGAGGAATTGGCCCTTGTGATCCAGAAACTTCAATACCATCATTTCAAAGTTTGTAAGGACTGTTACCATCACTTGGGAATTCTTCATTGTGGTAGTTAAAAGAAACATCAGATAAATGTGGAAGATAATAAGAAGTTCAGATGATAACTGCCCTGGTTACTTCTCAAACAATTGGCGCATAATACCAGTAAATACAGCAATGAGCATGTCAGACCATGATTACTCAACCTCACAGTGGTGAACACGTAACCATTACAAGCTTTTAACCTACATATCTGAAAACCCCCATAATCCTGAATCTGGTGTAACCATAACCATGTATGGCCTTCTCGGTGATACAACAACAACAACAACAACAACAACAACAAAGCCTTTTCCCACTAAGTGGGGTTGGCTACAGGAAATGAACTGCCCAAAAAGAACCCATATCAAACTTAAAGCCCACAGTGCACGTCCACAGGAAATTAACTGCCCAAAAAGAACCCATACCGAACTTCAAGCCTCCAAATAACTCTACAATTTATCCACTCCCAATATGTTCATTTCTTCAGAGACCATCTTCACATCTTTCAAAGAAATCAAAACCCCAGAGTTTACTAACCGCTGCATAACCATTCTGAATATTATAGTAGGAAGAATGAAACAACTGAGGCATGTCTGACCTGAATAAGTAATTCCCATTAATTTGTTGCCTCCATTTACCAGTTCACCTTCCAACAAATATAAATCAGAAAATCCTACAAAAAAAAAAATACAGAACCTAGAACTGACAAGCTAAAAGAAGTTCCCGAAGGTCCTTGCACTCTACACCCAATTCAGCAATGCTGAGAATTAGTTACTATATAACCATCCAACTGAACCCCCAAAAAACATGAAAAATTGAAAATGAAACTGCAAACAAACCACTTATCAACACAATTCCCAAGCACAAGTTAAACCAGTGAAGCCGAGAAAACTAGAAAAGCTCAACATTACCCAGCAAATAACACCGTCCTTAATTTTACTAACATGGTAAATTCACTACCACTTGACCAAACTGAATTTCCCACCATCTGGCAATTGTAACCAAACTTTCCATCTTCCAGCAGCATTTCCAGCACGGCATCCTTAATGTTGGTTGCAAAATTGCAATTCAGAATAACAAAAATGATACTTTTAGTGGTGATAAGTTATGTGCAAGCTCGCACCATGTCCTGTGCCCAGATATTCTTAAGACCCTCTCAAACTTCCATTTTTGATTGGCATTTCTATATAAATCTTATTTGATATGAACCGGACACTTTAATCACCAATCCCATAAAAAAGCAGACAAAAACCACAACCATAGTCAATACAACAAAATGAGGCCCAGAAACCCATATTCATTGATGCAGCAACCCACGAGTTTAAGCATCATATACATTTCCCATCAATACCCACAATATGAAAAAACAATTGCCCCAGACCATGATCCAAGACTGCACTCACACCAACATGCGTTCCTCAAGACTCATGTTCTTGCAGGCACATTCAGAGCTGTAAGACACAATAGCAGAATTCATTTATTCACAGTTTGACACTCAATAACTGGTTATAGATCCACATGTTCGACACGCAGTGTAAACAATCAATAGGTTCAAGAAACCCATATTTTGTTGGCACAAATTCATAGGACAATCGTAAACACTGTCAAGCACTTATGATAATCGTAGACAAGATCAAGCACTTATGATAATCGTAAACACAATCATGCACAAACTAAACGTTAATCATAAACACGATCAAGCACAAACTAACCTTTAAAATTAACTTCTCATAAACTACTTCAACACGATATATATACAGTTCAATTTATGCTCACAGAAGGTCGAAAACTAATTCCAACATATTAACCTCTTTGTTCTACAAGTTTCACTTCAAACACACAACATATGATTAAATCCTACAACATACATTTAGATAAATTACTTCTGCATCAAAAGGCCTACAGAAACTCAAGAAAAAATTAAGTAAATAAATAAATAATCATGAGTACGGAATCTAGAAGATAAAATGATAAATACTAACCAAATTAAGATTTAAGTGCAAAATACAAAATCAAATATTAAGATTTGAGCATAAATCACCGTCAAACAATGAATAAAATCCATGAAAATAAAAGCGGAGAATTATAGAGACGAACCAGGGTCTTTAGAGTAACGATCCGAACGAGTGTAGGGAAGAGGCTCGTGGCGAACCTCACCGGGCTCGTAATCGCTGCCACGTCCACCTCCACCACTGGCGCCGTCGCTGGTGGAGGGCCGCACGACGAGGCTGCTGAGAAGAGGCTGATGATGCGGTGCCTTTGGGTCTTTGTCCCTTGACCCCATCTTGTCGTCTTCGCTGTTCGATCGCGATGAGACGCGAGAGGGAGGTGCGAGCGTAATGATAATGCAATGCCCTAAAATTTGGTGCGAGAATTTTTGTGAAATTGCGGAAAAGGGCGGCACGTTTTGTACTTTTTACAATTTAGTAAGTTACATGGCTTCCTAGAAATGTATCCAAACTACAAGGACGGAAATGCAAAAACAAAATTCTCAAAGGTTCAGATGGAAGTTCCACCGTTAACAAAGACCGACCACCAGCAATTCTTTTTTCAATAAGGAATTCAATTTGACGTCATAAAGATAATTAAAGTTACATGGCCATACGACAATTTTATTTATTTTTTAAATGGTGAAGTGATGTTTTAGTCCTTAAATGATTACCCCAATGAAAGTTAGGTATTTAAATTATTTTTTAGTAAAATAAGAATCTAAATTCAATAAAAATTGCTAATTTCATCTTTAATATCATATTTAAAGTTATTTTATCTAATTTTTTGTCAATTTAAATCACTTAACATATTTTAAAGTATCACTCTGGTCCTTTTTTTGCCTACAAGCTTTTAAAATTTTATATAAATTACGAATCTAACGTCTATATTACTCTTCAAAGTTAACTACACACACACTATTTCTTGATGGAAACTTACCAGTCTACCCTTTAATACGTATCACATGCAAGTAACATGATTTAAATTGAATGAAAAATGAATATAGTATATTCGAATCTAATATTAGGGATATAATTGACATATTTTTATAATTCACAGCTGATTTTTCTAGAAAAAAAATAATTAGGTACCTGGTTTTCACTTAGATGATAATTCATGGACTAAATTGCAATTCACACTTTTTGTTTAAAAAAAAAAAAGTTTCATCTGTATTTTTGTCTGTTTCTCTTGTTTACACTCGGAAAAGCAAATCGAGAGGTTGCTTCCATTGCTTCTTCCGTAACCAATCTGCAACGCCTTCCTTTCCTTCCTGACTAGTCATTTATCACACCAGAAACCACCGCACTCGGCCCACCATTTCTCACTCGTGCGTAAACAAAGCTGCTCCGAACCTTCGTTCTCGAACGTTCGTACAGCTCAGAGCTGTAAAGGAAAGGACTTCGGGAGTGAGAGGCTGCCAAACCTCACCGAAATCCCTTTCCCCCACGTTTCTGATCGCTGATCGAATTTCAGATCCGTTGGATGATCGGAGCATAGAGAAGGTATTCCAGCTTCGTCTGGATTTCTGTGAAGTTTGAGTGCTTTCTGAATCGCAACTTGCGGCTCTCGTTTTGGTTCCATTTTTTTGGTTGGTTGTGATTTTTAATTCTTGATTTCCGTATTTTCTTACTTGATTTTAGATTTTGGTTGAAATTTTCATTCTTAATTTGGTTTTGTTGTGGAATTGTTTGGCGGAGGCTCTGTTTTTGTGAATGTTTTGTTTTCTGTGCGGAATTATTTGATAGTTATTATCTGTTCGGTTCCCGAGAAAATGAGGAAAGGAAAATTATATAAATTTCATGTCTTCAGCGTTTCCTTTGCAATCGGTTAAGTAAGTGCTTGTTTGCAGTCGAAATAATGCATATTTCGAAAGTATGATTCTAAATTGTTCTAATTTGCAAGGGAAGGCTGGTTGCAGCTTGGCATGCGGGGCCGCCATCGCGAAGCTTTCTCGATGTACAAGCGGTTGTCATCGAGAGACTATTCGAATACCATTGACCTGGATACGAAAGAGTTGATGGATCCTCTTGACATGGAAGAAAACTCAGGTAACTCAGTTTATTGAGCGTCTGAAGCATATTTATGCACATAATCTATTGTTTTGTACTTCCTTATGATGAATTAAAGCACATTTTAAAGGGATAATGTCAGAGATACTTGTAAAGACCGCACTTTTCTTGGAAATTATAGTGAGGAGTTCATTGATTCTAAGGTCTTGTTTCGGCAGTAAGTATATGCTTGTAACATGTATATCATTCAACTAAGGGTTTAATCCTTGTATCCGTTTTAGCTCTTGTACAGAAAAGTACAGTTCCAGAACTTTCAAACCCCTCATGGAAGCGATCTTTCCCCCATGTACTTGTGGCAACTCTATCTGCATTCTTGTTTGGCTACCATCTCGGGTTGGTGCTTACTGTCCGCTTCCCCTCTCTTTTGCATGGTTTGTTTATGTTGAAGCTTAAGAGAATAATATACCTTTTTTATTTTTTGTTCTAACACTTGCTTTGTGCAGGGTGGTTAATGAACCGCTTGAAAGCATTTCTAAAGATCTTGGTTTCAAAGGGAATACCTTGGCAGAAGGTGGTATTAAGTAGATGTTTACTTTCTTTGTTTGTTGTAATCTAATGTCTGATTTTTGCATTTGACTATTTGTACTGATGGGTTTCTGTCATTTTATATGAAATGAAGGTCTGGTGGTGAGTACTTGTTTGGGAGGTGCCTTGGTTGGATCTTTATTCAGTGGATGGTTAGCCGATGGAGTAGGACGTCGTAAGGCTTTTCAACTGTGTGCATTGCCTATGATAATTGGTGCTGTTATGAGGTGATATATTTACTTCGAGAGGCAACTCTGTCACAGTATCATCATTTGATTAAGAAGTACATGGATCTTTATATTGTGAGATTGGTTTTCACTCTCTTCATATTTTCATATTATGTAATTTGTCCTTCAGTTTAGTAGCTATATCCATGGAAGCTTTTGGGTTGTGAACTTGTGATATAACATTTTGACAGAGCCCACTTATATGTACCTGTTGTAGATTTTTTTTATCCTCATGGTACTGTAATATGATAGCTAAAAACGGCTTTTACTTTTTCCCTTTTATCTGATTTCTTTATCACAAAATCAGTTAAGAAGATTAGTCTGGTTTTTGTAATGTAGATATATGATCTGTCAGTATCCCTATGTAACTGCACACATTTATATTTAACTACAAGTCTACAAGTAGCCCTCAATACTCACATGCTCGTATCTCCCAAGGCCCTCTTGTAATACATCTTGAAGTACATCTGGCTAAAATTACTACCTGCTTTTTCAGTGCATCAACCAAAACTCTTGCTGGTATGCTTATAGGAAGGTTATTTGTTGGGACTGGTATGGGTCTGGCCCCTCCTGTTGCTTCTCTTTATGTGACAGAGGTAATCTAGCTTAAATCTCTTTGTAATTTGTTATTATATATTGTGCTTCTTATCTCATCTAATGTTTTTTCGTTAACTTGAGCAGGTTTCTCCTGCTTTTGTGAGGGGTACTTATGGCAGTCTCATCCAGATTGCAACATGCCTGGGGATTATGGGGGCTCTTTTTGTTGGAATTCCTGTTAAAGAAATCACTGGCTGGTAAGAACGTGATAGGCTTCACAATATCTTTGATTCACATTTAACCTTTCAAACTTACTATTTTAAATTATGTGTCAGGTGGCGTGTTTGTTTTTGGGTATCGATAATTCCAGCTGTAGTACTGGCAGTTGCCATGGTATTCTGTGCAGAGAGTCCACATTGGCTACATAAGGTATGCTTGCATCACACTTGTCTTTAGTTGAATAGAAAAATTGATCACACCTCTTAAAACAAATGTTAACAATCCCCGTTTCATATGATATAGCAAGGAAGAACTTCTGAGGCAGAAGCTCAATTTGAGAAGCTCCTTGGTGGATCACATGTCAAAACTGCCATGGCAGATTTAGCCAAGTTGGACAGGGGAGATGAGACAGATGCTGTAAGCCTTTCGGAGTTGTTTTATGGACGCCATTTTAGAGGTATATATGATACTTTCTGGTATTTCCTATGGGCTCTGCATATATTTAGGCTCCTCTATCCCTCTCCATCCATCTATGGTGTATTTCTTTCCTGTTTCCTGTGATCTTTCAGCCTGCTGAAATTGCTTGGTTGTTCACGTATTTGTTTTGCAGTTGTTTTTATTGGGTCAACTCTATATGCTTTACAACAGCTATCTGGTATAAATGCTGTCTTTTATTTCTCCTCGGCTGTATTTAAAAGTGCCGGAGTATCATCAGGCCTTGCAAATGCCTTTGTAGGAATCGCAAATTTGTCAGGTATACTTTAGATTCTTGGTTGCATATTCACTTACCCACAACGATTGCATTCTGTCTCTTGACTGGATGGATTTTTATAATTTCCAGGATCTACTGTTGCAATGCTTTTGATGGATAAAGTAGGAAGGAAGCTGCTACTCTTATGGAGCTTTTTTGGCATGGTAAGTTGAAGTTGCATATCATTTTTTGGTTCGCGGAATTCATTATCTTGCTAGGCAATTATGTGATGCATTTTATCCGCTCAGGCGGTGTCAATGGGTGTTCAAGTTGCTGCAGCAAGCTTTAATTCATCAGGGTCTGGATCGCTGTACCTATCTGTTGGTGGAATGCTGATGTGAGTAATAATTTTGAATTTTACATCTTGAAGATTAATCTTATGTTGTATGATCATAGCGGCATCAAATAAATTTATCTGCATGCAAAATTTTCAAACGATATTCTTCTTATACATATTGTACATGCTGAGGTTGTGTCCATAGCCTCTGCATATGCGACAATAATATGATTGTTGCCATGTCATGATATTTTATGACGCTTAAGAAGCTCTTTAGAAAATTATATTCACCGGTTTGGCATCTTGGTGAATAATCACATTACACAATAACATGAATTAAATCAAACTTTTAATATTCAATCATCTACCCCAAAACTTGTGCAGGTTCGTCTTAACATTTGCTCTAGGAGCTGGTCCAGTTCCTGGTCTCCTTTTACCAGAAATATTCCCCAGCCGTATTAGAGCAAAAGCAATGGCCGTCTGTATGTCGGTGTATTGGGTAACTCTCTTTCTCCGTCTGAATTCCATGTCATCTTCTTTTGTGTATGTCTTCGGTGGTGAAAGGCTTCCTGTTCGGGTGGTCTGAGCAGCATCTTGTTTAGGCTACATTCCTAGTTGTTCTCAGATTCAGCGTTCTACTAATTTGTGATTAGCCTCTTCCTCTGTGGATTCTGAATCAATCAATGTAGTTCAGTTATCTTATGGTTTCATTTATTCTGTGAC